AGCACAGAAGTTCCCATTCAGTACCAACAGTGGTTAACAAGCCTCATTCAGGTCGCCTGCAGCGCGTCTGTAGGTGTGTGGTTGAAGACAGGAGACGGCACATCAGTCACATCAAATACTCCTATTGATTCTGAATTGCATTCGAATTTCTTCTTTTATTTCTTACGTTGCATTTTATCATATTGCCATTTGAACTCTGTGGAACTCAAACTGCAGTCGAAAAAATATGCCATATGTAAGAAATAAAAGATGAAATTTAAAAATCCGTTAAAATTGTACAGCATCTTGCACAGTATGTTGCAATTGCTACAACAGGCAGAGAATCCATACAGTGCTTCTCCAAGACGCTCAGCAATTTCGAAGTGGTCCAGGGCATTGGGGACCCACTGGGCTAGCAACAAGATGTTGTGGTGTAGGGAATTGCAGGCACCATATTCCACCCCCGTTGTCCGTAGGGGTGGAAGGATCTGCCAACTTTGGTGCTCCCAGTTCTAAATCCCCCCCACCCCCAGTCTTAAGTTCAGTTCTTCACATTTATGCAGCATTTAGTGAATTCCTGAAGAAAGTTTATCAGCATATTAGCATGGATTTCTCTTAATAAACATTTTTGTTTGCAGTTTTGACTAACGTATCCATTTTTGCGAGCATCTTTGCGAGATTTTTTCTCATCTAACACCTTTTTGTATGTTGTTTATAATAATAATAATTATTATTATTTATTTATACCCCGTCCATCTATCTGGGTTTCCCCACCCACTCTGGGCAGCTCCCAATCAAACGTTAAAAACACAATACAGCATTAAACATTAAAAACTTCCTTAAATAGGGCTGCCTTCAGGTGTCTTTTAAAAGTAGGATGGTTGCTTATTTCCTTGACATCTGATGGGAGGATGTTCCACGGGGCAGGCACCACTACCGAGAAGGCCCTCTGCCTGGTTCCCTGTAACCTCACTTCTTGCAGTGCTGGACCTCAGTGTTGAGGGGGTGGAGGCGCTCCTTCAGGTATACTGGGCCGAGGCCATTTAGGGCTTTACAGGTCAGCACCAACACTTTGAATTGTGCTCAGAAACGTACTGAGAGCCAATGTAGGTCTTTCAAGACCGGTGTTATAATGGTCTCGGTGGCAACTGCCAGTCACCAGTCTAGCTGCCACATTCTGAATTAGTTGTAGTTTCCGGGTCACCTTCAAAGGTAGCCCCACATAGAGCGCATTGCAGTAGTCCAAGCGAGAGATAACTAGAGCATGCACCACTCTGGTGAGACAGACTGCAGGCAGGTAGGTTCTCAACGTGTGTACCAGATGGAGCTGGTAGACAGCTGCCCTGGACCCAGAATTGACCTGCGCCTCCATTGACAGCTGTGAGTCCAAGGTGACTCCCAGGCTGCACACCTGGTCCTTCAGGGGCACAGTTACCCCATTCAGGACCAGGGAGTCCTCCACATCAGCCCGCCCCCTGTCCCCCAAGAACAATACTTCTATCCTGTCAGGATTCAACCTCAATCCGTTAGCTGCCATCCATCCTCCAACCATCTCCAGACACTCACACAGGACCTTCACTGCCCTCACTGGTTCCCATTTAAAAGAGAGGTGGAGCTGGGTATCATCATGTGTTCATTTTTATCTTCTTATGTCTCCTTCCCTGGTTCCACTTGCAGCAACAAAGAAGCGCTGCCCCTCTTCCTTGCACAAGCTATTTCGCTGTTTCCATATTATTCTTCCTGAAACTGATTTTCCCCTCCCCTGTCCCTTTGCTAGATGTTCCACCCTAATTTAAACCAGTTGGAAGTCCATAAAGACCTCCTTCCTCTGTAGTTTGTGTGGTCATCCTCGCTGCTGAGACCCAAAGTGCCCATTCCTTGCAGCACGCTGTAATTTGGCATGTTTTGCTTTGACAAACGTACTAATGAAGGGTGTGGCTTTGTTTTGGTTTTTTGCATGTTTCGACAAGAGGTTGCAAAGTGAGTTTTCTCAGTTCCCTTCTCCACCTTCTCGAAAGGTGGAGAATCCTCTTGCTTCAGAGTGATTATGTCTCTTCCCAACTTATTTTTTAAAAATAAAAATGGGCGGAATTTTGGCTGGCAGGCTTGTTGTGACTCTTTAATTTGTTAGTGTGCGTTTTGTGTGTGTGTGTGTGTACTAAGAGAGAGCGAGGGAGAGCGAGATGAAAGTTGCTTGCAACACTCCTAATTTGGACTAGGCCTTTGGGGAGGTATGTGTTGCAACCGGTTTTCCTGCATCAACACGAACCTGCTTTGAGTAGTTTGCGAGCGGCTTTTCTGGGGCTTGGATTAACAGGTGGCAGATACCGAAAAGGGCTCTTTTTCTTCGTCTGCGTTCTCTTCTTAAACGAAAAGTGAGGCTCTCCTCCTCCTCCCTCGGTTGTACCTGAAGGGAACCTGTGTTCTGTTCAAGGCTTTGTCGCTGCCCTTGCCCACCTGCTATGCAGAGCAGCATCTTTGAAAACTCCTCTGAGGGATTTGAGTACCTTGCATTCTCCAGAGCTCAGAGAACAGAGAGCAACTACTTAGACCAGGAGGAAGGAGTAAGTAGAGCCCTCTTTCTAGCCTTTTGGTCTTTTCTCATATCCAGAAAGGCAAAGGGGGAAGGTCATTGATTCCTTCCTCTGCTGGCTGCTTGCAAATGGGAAGGAGAGGCAGGAATCTGCCATCACATCCTGGTCCTGCTAACAACTTCCTCTCTGCCTGCCATTTCTTATTAATTCTTTGCGCTTGAACTGCACCTGTGTGTGAAGTAATGTGTTCTCCCTCCCTTGGTGTATAGCTTGCTGGTGTCTGCTGAATTTGTCCCCAATACTGGTTCTTACCAACCTATTTTACTGACACCTACCTGCCTGTTTCCTTCTTTGTGTTTCACTGACACAAATGTGCAAACTGTGAAATTATGGATGACATCCAGCAATGACTGCTCACTTGCATAATAGAGATCTGCTTGTTCGATGGGACTTCGGGTTTCTCTGCTCCCCACTACACTCTCTATCTGCTCCAGAGGGGCTCTATAGCCTTCCAAGGAGCAGGTTTTTTGGGGTGGGGTTGAGTTCATGATCTGGGGAAGATCAGTGAATCTGGTTGTCCCGTTGCAGTTGTACCATGGTGTTTTTTCTCTCTGTGTTCCTCCAAGTGGATATTTCTCCTCTGGTCACTCCTGTACATAGCTGTCAACTTTTCCCTTTTCTTGCGAGGAATCCTATTCGGAATAAGGGAATTTCCCTTTAAAAAAGGAAAACGTTGACAGCTGTGCTCCTGTACATGACCTGACTGCCTGTCTCCAGCCACTGCAGTCATCTGCAAGGGCTTCCCACATGGCAACGTTGATGTTGCTGGCCTTCATACCAAAGAGTGCACTTCAGATTTAGGTGCACAGTTAAATATGTGAAGCACAGCCTCTTGCAGTTGTGTATCAGGTATTTGTATCAGGAATCTGGGATATAGCTGGGGCTCCCTGTGGAATGTACACTTGGAGTTGCTGCATGTAATGCATGGAACGGTCCTGTGTCTTTAAAGCAAAGAGGTCTTCCAATATCTGAAACTCGAGCCAAATGTAGCTGAGCCTGAACTTCAGCTCTTGAGATGGACAGTGATGATTAGCATTCACTGCACAGTGACAAAATTGCTGTTTGGGGCAGCTGTGGTTAGACAGGAAGATTGGGGAGGAGGAAATGAATGCCATACCTCAGCTCTTAACTCTACCTGCTCCTCTAGCGTTAGTGCATAGCAGATCATGAGTCACTCTGCTGAACTGAAATTCCTTTGTCAATAAAAAAGAAAAATTCCGTCATTTTGCATAGAGTGTGTGTTTTATTAGTGAGGCTCATTATCTTCTGAATAGAAGTGGAAGTACTTTCTCAAAGCTGCCGCTGCCACTCGCTGTGCATCTGCAATATCTGCCGTCTAAGAAGTATTTCTAATCATGCATTGTTCATTCCGGAGAAATGAGCCCTCCATTCCCACCCCACCCCTATCCAACTACAATGAGAAGATTATACTGTAGTAGTAGTTTCACTGGGAGATTTATTTCCCTAGTGGTGGAATGTAGCTCAGTGCTTTGCTTGCAGAAGAGCCCAGGTCCAATTATTGGCATCTCCAGCTAGAGCTGGGAGTGTCCCATGAGGGAAAACTCAGTCGATGGAGCATGAGACTCTTAATCTTAGGGTTGTGATTTCAAGCCCCATGTTGGGTGAAAGATTCCTGAATTTCATGGGGTTGGACTAGATGACTGTTGTGGTCCCTTGAAATTCTACAAACCTGTGATTCTGATTCTGTGAAACTATGGCAAGCCACTGCCAAGCAGTGTTGATGATATGGAGTTAGATGGACTAATGGTCTGACTCAGTATAAGGTGGTTGTTTAGTCGTTTAGTCGTGTCCAACTCAGCGTGACCCCATGGACCAGAGCACGCCAGGCACTCCTGTCTTCCACTGCCTCCCACAGTTTGGTCAAACTCATGCTGGTAGCTTCAAGAACACTGCCCAACCATCTCGTCCTCTGTCGTCCCCTTCTCCTTGTGCCCTCCATCTTTCCTAGCATCAGGGTCTTTTCCAGGGAGTCTTCTCATGAGGTGGCCAAAGTATTGGAGCCTCAGCTTCAGAATCTGTCCTTCCAGTGAGCACTCAGGGATGATTTCCTTCAGAATGGATAGGTTTGATCTTCTTGCAGTCCATGGGACTCTCAAGAGTCTCCTAAAGCACCATAATTCAAAAGAGCCTAAGTTAGCCATATCTATTAACTTCAGTGTGTCTACTCCAAGTAGGACTGGCACTGAATACTACCCATAGGGTGGGATGCATTGTAGTGCTAACTCCAGCACCATAATTCAAAAGCATAAATTCTTCGGCGATCAGCCTTCTTTATGGTCCAGCTCTCACTTCCATACATCACTACTGGGAAAACCATAGCTTTAACTATACGGGCCTTTGTTGGCAAGGTGATGTCTCCGCTTTTTAAGATGCTGTCAGTATAAGGTTGCTTCCTTTATTGAGGGAGGAGTCATAGCTCAGTGGGAGAGCATCTGCCTTGCATGCAGAAGTCCCAGGTTCAATCCCCAGTATCTCCGGGGAGGGATGGAAATGTTCCCTGTCTTGAAAAACCCTGGAGAGCTACTACCAGGCAGTGTCAAAAATACAGTGGGATGGATCAATGATATGACTCTGTATAAGGCAGCTTGCTATGTTCTTTGTCTGCTCATTATGAACATGACTATCAATATATGCCATCTGTGCAAGGTGGTTTTTTTGTGGGGGGGGGCAGCAACATTGGCTCCTCCTACTGACTCACTCCCAAGCAAGACAAGGCACGGGCAAAACGGCTCTTTAAGACCCCACCCCCAAGAGGCAGAGGGGGTGGCCTTCCTTCAACCATCTCTGCTGCTCACTACCCTCGTCCTGCATTTTGCCTCCATGGGTGTGCACATCAAGCGCATAAGAAAGAAGAAATCCTGTTCAAACTGGAGAAGAGGGTGTTAAACAGCCTGTACCTCAGCCTGGGAGGGAGTGGTTGGAGTGTCTTAACTAGAGCCAAGCTGAAATTACTCATAGGACATTTTAGGGAGGCAAACTCTGGTGATTTCTTTTTTCTCGTTCTTTTCAAAAACTGAGAGCTGCTTTGCTGAATGTGGAACCATTTATTATTATTATTTTTAAAGTGTGGCAGTCACCATTGCCCCTCACGATGCTCCAGAAATGACGCTATACCTGGGGCATTGTGGCAGATGCAAAACAGTGCTGGCTGGAAACATCTTAGGTGGGAAATGGTGTGGTGCTTCTTGTGGGTCAGCCCCATCTGTAAGACCCTGCTGGAAAAATTCCCTGCTCCTGGACAATATTACACAAAATGAAGTCCTCCAATGATTTCTTGCATTAAATTAAAAACAAACATCTCTTTCATATGAAAAACTTACTAACAACATTCCAGAAGAGGGTATCTCATTCTGCAGTTTGCCAACTCTCAAAGAATAAGTTGTTCAGTTTTGTTTATTGGAAAAACTCGTTTAATAACTGCACTTATATATCAAATTGCCCCACTGCAGTCCTAGAGTTATGCAACAGAAGAAAAGCCTAATGGATCAGGCCAATGTCCCATAATGTCCAGCATCCTGTTCCCACAGTGACCAAGCAGGTGCAACATCACTTTACCCACTTGTAATTAACCAGCAACTCGTGTTAAGAGACATACAGTCTCTAATGGTTCTCCCACAAATCCTTTGCTTCTGCTCCTCCTCCTCTTCCTCACCTTCCTCCCATCTCTTAAGCATCAACCATCAACTAGGCAGTCCTATCACCAATTCTCTTTTTGCTGCACTGACAGCCATTTTGTACTGCGGCACACAGCATTTGATAAAAGGATATGAGTACTTAGGGCTGCCATACATCCGGGATACATAGCCACGATTTGTCCGTCAAAAATGGTGTCCGGGCATATGGCAGCCTATATTGGAAGTGCTTATTTTGGGGGTGGTTCCCCCCCCCAAAAAAAGGTTAAAAGCTTTGTTGTTGTTGTTGAGATTTTGCAAAAAAAGAAAAGAAAAAAGAGCTCAACACCTTTTGTGTGCCGATTGTCGCTTCCTGAAATATGGCAACCCATACTAGCACTTCATTTATTTTATATACCAAAAAATAAAAAGGGAATGGAGCCATGAGCAGTGTCTGCGCGTGTGTAATATACATCTTAAATGAGAAAAGGGCATATTGCTGGATTGAGATGAAAGCCATCAAGTGAACAGAGAACCAAGGCTGGCCTTAGGTGTATTAATTTCAATAAGTAATTTCCTTATGGAGTAAAACTCCAGCATGCAGCAGGGTGCTTTTCAATACAATTTCATTACGGAAGGACCTGCTTTTTAATAGTGCTGGGAAGAAGCATGCTGAGCACAAAGGGATGAAGGGATTTTTTTGGCAGGGGGGTGAAGGGAACACATCTATAAATGACTGCCAAAGGGACCTCAGAAAGATCTGATTTGTTCTTATGCAAATGGGGTGTATCTATCATGGTCTATCTGTGCCTTCGCCATTCCCTAGAAAATATTCCAGTGAATCTCTTTCTCGGTTTGGCATTAGAAGGCTCAGTCTCTCTGTTACATTGTCCTCCTCCTCCTCTCCAGAGTCAACGACTGCATCTTGCGGGTGAATGAAGTCGACGTCTCCGAAGTTTCGCACAGCAAAGCCGTCGAGGCCCTGAAGGAAGCTGGCTCCATAGTGCGACTCTACGTCCGTCGGAGGAGACCTATTCTGGAGACTGTTGTCGAAATCAAACTGTTCAAAGGGCCGAAAGGTAATGAGGAAATACTGAAAGAAAAGTGGGGGTAGGTGGGGAGACACAGGAACAGTGGCGTAGTGTGGGGGGTGCAGGGGGGCCGGCCGCACCGGGCACAACATCGGGGGGGGGGCGCGCTCGCACTCACAGCTCTCTGCCCCTACGGGTTAGGGGGCGCAAATTTCTTGCCTTGCCCTGGGTGCTGACAACCCACGCTACGCCACTGCACAGGAAGCTGTCCTTTGGCCAGATCAAACTGTGGTTGCGCTGCGATGTTTGTGATGGTTTGCGATGTGGTGGGTGAGCACCATGGCTGCACACTGCTCCATCTTTATCACGTCTCTCCTTGCGTACCACCTTCAGTGCAGAGATCCTGCACCGAAGGCTCACTCATCCAGACTTCCTTTTGCATTGTGCTTTCCAGACACAGGCCTGTGCTTTAAAGTTCAGTGTATGAGCAAGGTTGTTTTGTTTTGTTTTGTTTTGTTTTGTTTTGTTTTGTTTTGTTTTGTTTTGTTTGCCCTGGTACATTCCCCAGGAGAACCCACATTTTACTGCTGAATCAGAGCAAATGGCAATCCGCAAAAAAATAAAATAAATACCCAATTGCCGTTGGCTCCAAATCAGCTGTAAAATGCAGTTGCACCGAGAAAAGCCCCAGGACCAAATAAAGAACACTTTCAGACATGGAGCTTTAAAGTCTGGACCTGGACCGAGAAATACATCTCAAAATGAAGTCTGGATTAGCCCTAAACCTCCGTTTTCCATTACACCTGAACCAGGAAACTCTGGTTTAATGTTGGTTTATGAACCGTGATAAGCCACGATTAGATACTGATGCCTCCCTCTGCACATGCAGAGTTGTACCTTTCCCATGGATGTAGGTCTCACAGCCTCAGTGCCAGATTAAACCCTGTGGAAGCCCCTAGGCAGTCAAAATCTCGGGGGGCCTCCTCACAAATTATCTCCTAATACATTTTTGAGTTTACCGACCAACCATTTTAATAAGCCAATTTTATTACACAAAATAAACGTTAACAATTACTGATGTTATAAAACAAACCAAATCATGATCAAGATCAAATCAATATTATTTTGATCCCTAAAAAGTGGTGCCTATTTGGTAACCCACCACTGCAGAGCCGGACCCCCAGCAGCTCACCATGGGCTGACCTGCCCCTTGTGCCCATTTGAAAGCATCACTGCCATTCGGAGTTGGTTGGTTTTCTTCAACTTGTATTTAGCCTCACTCCCTCTGTGTTCCGACTGACATCCGCATGCTCTGCACTTCCTATTCCTTGTTCCACATCATTGGCTAGTGGGAGTTGGGAAATGCAAAACATGATGATGTCAGGACATTGGGTGGCGTTACTTTATGAAGCAGAAGGCAAGTAGCTTGAGATGCCTCTTGGCAATGTTTTGTTTTGAATCAGCAGTTCAGTGTCGGATGCAACCCCATATTAGAGCAGGGCTGGATATTTAAGCAGGTATTTGACACAATTCTCAGTTTCTGAGGAAGATGGATGTGAAAAGAACTAAAGTTAGCATATTCGTTTAGCTTTTGATAAAGCAGCAGGAAATAATTTAGCTTGGTGTTACCTTGCAGGGAAAAAAAGAAATTAAATGCTGGCACTCTGATGTCAAGATCCTTGTGAAGATTTCATTTTTAGTTGTGGTGCCTGAAACAATTCTGCTTTACTAAGTGTGTGTGTCTGTGGGTATATGTGTGTGTGTGTGTGTGTGAGAGAGAGAGAGAGAGAGATGGACAGACAGACAGACAGACATTATATGCTTTTATAACCAGCTGTTGTTTGTAACTGCTTGGTGTTTCAAATATTGATTTGATCATTCATGCATTCTGGATACGAGATTCGCTCTCACACATATGCATTAGCACCTGAATTTTGCTGTTGACGTAGGATTTCCATTTCACCACTGCAGTTGGCTGAAAAGCGGATTTGATGTTATGTGAAGGCTCCCTCTAGTGTAAAATGCCGTGATCCATTTCCTGCTGGTGCTGCATTAAAATGACAAGCAAGTTGTCCCAGGGCCGCATCAGGGCCCACTGATGTTGGCACCATCTCTTATCATTCCTTACGCTAGGAGCCCGGGAGACTGCGAGACACCCTTATACATCTCCCACCATGCCCTGGGGGTGGTCCATTGGGCACTCAAGGGCATTGTGGGAAATTTCAAATGGTGACTTGTAACCTCTGCTGTTGATTAAGCCAGAAGGAAAGGCTGTGTTGTGGGCAGTGTGAACTCTCAGGACCATCCCAAAACTCAACAGAGTTCCTTGGAACAGTGGCACCTCACCTGGTCTACCTGAGAGGAAGAAAAAAGGGTGGGATTGTGCACTGTTGGTCTCCACTGCCCAAAGCGGTGGAGGTGCCATTGTGGGCCGACACCACAGGCTGTGTGTAGCCTGCAGGTCAGGGGCTCCCCATCTAATATTATAGTTTCAGATTTGTATGGTGTGGTTTTTAATAAATAAATGCTATGCTTGTCTTTATAATTTTTAAGCTATTATTTCGGAAACTTCCTGGTGTCTTTCCCACCATTAGGGTTTGCTAGAGTCAGTCGAGACTTTCCTGTCTGACTGGATTTTGTATGGTTGCTATTATTATTTATTAAACTTACTCAGGCATGGGAAGTAATTGGTGGTTCCTCTGTAGTGCACATTTTAAAGGTGTATCCTTTTGGGGTTTTTGCTTTGTTCTTCAACTGTTCCCTGCCTCTTGCCCTCAGAAAAAGAGTCTAAAAATAGAAATGTATACGTTATTGGGGGCAGTGCTTTTTTTCTGG